GCCTCGCGAAGATAACTCAGGAGATATTTCAAGGAAATAGCGGCTCCGGTCTAGACAACCGAGATTAATGGCCATGGAGATCGGTTGCACTGATCATGCGACACCTTATATCCTCAAACGTTGGCACTAACTTCGCCAACAAGAGGCGGTCGCTCGGTCGGTATATTTGGCTTGCGGACTACAGGCAACGGGGTTTCTTTGTATGACCGTACAAGACTTCGAGTCTCTTTGTTCACTGAACTTCTTTATTGCTACAAGAAGACCTCAAATTCATACAGTCACTATTTATAGTAATATGAACGCCAGGGAATCAAAGTTGTCAAGATGGCTTGGTACAACTGCAGGCTGCTTACAGTCAAATTCACTGTATTCTCTTATCTAATTTGTGCATATCACTCCCAGTCCTTACATCTGACAGGAAGAGGCCGATAAGCGGATTCGCTGTGTATCCCTTCACACTGAAGCCCCTGCTTAGTGTCTGCTCTACAAGTAAACACGTGTGAGTACGTCGGTGGTGCACTCTGTATAAAACAACCACTGAAACTGTGCTGCGAAATGTTAGATTTTTTAAAAAATAATTGGTGAATATTTTGAAAAAAAAAATCAGTCCATAAAACTCCTTACTTACTTATTTATGGAGCTGAGCCCTTCTTGAGGAGCGAAATCTGCAGCTACTCAAGAATTTCCCAGCATTTAATGGAACCCAGAGGTTCATTACCGTATTCACAAGAGCCCTCCACTGGTCCCAACCCTGAGCCAGATAAATCCAATCCATACCATTTCATCCTATCTCTCTAAGATCCATTTTAATATTGTCCACCCACCTACGCATTGGTCTTCCCAGTGGTCTCTTTCCTTCTGGCTTCCCCACCAATATACTATATGCATTTCTATTCTCCCCCATTCGTGCTACATGCCCTGCCCACCTCATCCTCCTTGACTCGAACATTCTAATAATACTTGGAGAAGAGTACAAGTTATGAAGCTCCTCATTATGCAGTTTTCTCCAAATTCCTGTAACTTCCATCTCTCTTCGGTTCAAATATTCTCCTCAACACCCTGTTCTCCAACACCTTCAGTTTATGTTCCTCCCTTAATGTCAGAGACCAAGTTTCACACCCATACAGAACCACAGAATAAAACTCCTACTTAAAAAAAGGTTGTTTGAAATCAATTATGCTATTAAAGGAAAAGGTTATTCTTTCATAGCAAAATATATTTACCGTAACTGAATTCTTTTGAAGTTAAGTGGTTATGAGCCCAACATCTGTCCACACCCATCAACACCCTTCATAATGATCGGCACTCAGCGGCATTGTGGGCATTTCATATTCGGGGTCTGCGTGGAAAATTGAAGTGTAAGCTTCATTTCTATTTCATCCGTCAAACCTAAAACTGTTGTTTACATGTCACGAAATCTCCGTGGCCTGTAGTCCACAAGCGAACTATACCGACCGAGAGACCGCCGCTTGTCGGCGAAGTTAATACCAACTTTAGCGGATAGAGGGTGTCTCGTGGTCAGCGCAACGGTTTTCTAGACCGGTTACATGTCACTAACAAGATCTTAGAAAAGAATGCACTTTTAGCTTGTTGCTATTTATAGAATATTATTATTATTGTTATTCAGTCTGACGTTAACTCTATACAAGGTTCGTGCATTGCTAACTGTATGAAACTCAACATCAGTAAAACTAAAGTTATATCCTTCTCCAGGAAATCCAACGCACTGATCTATGGTTATAAACTTTGTCAATCGGCAATAGCCCGGACCGATTCTATAAAAGACCTGGGAGTGTTTATTGATGCTAAGCTATATTTCCATGACCAGGTCAATTACATCTTCTCTCACTGTGTTAAACTGTTGGGTCTAGTTCGTAATATAACTTTCAATTCCTCATCTCTAGACTGTATGCTCAGATTGTACACTGCATTAGTTAGATCTAAGCTTGAATATGCGTCCGTAGTCTGGAATTCGATTACGTTAACTGGTGCCAACAGCTGGAACGTATCCAGCAGAGGTTTGCGGCCCCTTGTTTTAATCGTTTCTTTCCTCAGGTCCATTACAGTTATTCTGTTGCTCTGGAGGAGTTACAATTGCATACTTTACGTACTGGGAGACATGGCCTTGATGCTCTCTTTCTTACTCAAATTTATTTTGGGTCGAAATTCTGCCCTTCTGTTCTGGAAATTGTTGGTCTCCGAGTTCCTGCTCGGTATATCAGAGATTTTGCACTGTTCAATGTATGCTCCTCATGTAAACATTGACCCTCTGCTAGATGCGCAGCAGCCGCTAATGTTGTCTGCAGGGAGGATGACGTATTCGGAGCCAGGAACGTTCTCCCCAAACGATTTTTAAATATAGTATAAATGTTAGTATTATTATTTACATGTAAAATAAACAACAATTAAAGTGAATAATTATTATTATCCTCTCTGAAAATCTATACATTTCATTTCTCAATACTCAATACCGCTTAGATTTATGTTAATGAAATTATTATTATTGCTATGTTTATCAATTGTCTGTTTACTTGTCTGCATTATTCATGTTAAATAAATTATTGTGATTATTATTATTATTACTATTATTATTATTTGTTTGTTTACTTGTCTGCATTATCGTGTTTTCCTCCAGTGCTTGCCTGTAATTTGTCTTTGACTTTATGTAAAGTTTGTCTATAATGTAATTACTTGTATGTACCCTGTGCTCTGTCTGTAATTGGCCTTGCAGCTGTTTACTCGGAATATAAATAATAAAGAATTGAATTGAATTAATTATTTAAACTGCAAGTTGGGTTTTTGTCCAGTGGCAGTGGTACTACAATAAGACACAAGACACAAACACATCACACAAAATAACAAACCACACTCAAACAAAACACAGCACACAAAACTGCACAAACAACAAAGGACACACTAGCACACAGTATATACAATGAAAATACACTTACAACTAGAATTATATAAATTAATATTAATAAAAAATAAATATACTATACATTAAACAGTAATTGTACTGGAATGTGTAATGTCATATTGTGATGAGCCCACATTTCACCATGACTTTCCCTTTATCTCACTTCACTTCCACTTCACTTCACTTCCACTTTACTTCACTTCGCTTCACTTCATTTCACTGCATTTTCGGATAATTTCTCCTATGCTTTCACTTCGCCTTATTGTTCGGACGCATTAATAAATGCTTCCGAGCAATGCTAATTTTTGAAGTTAGATTTGATCAGTTGGAAATAATCGCAAGTTGCGTCAGTCAAATTACGTGCATTAACGAATCACTGAATTGCACATTCTGAAATATTAATCTCTGGTTCCCTCTAGTTTGTTGCATAGATTCAGGTAATTAACCAACATATTTTGTTTTCAAAATAACTATGGATAATTCTAATGTTTCACAGGCTAGTGTTGGACTCACATATCTCCACCTATTTCTTATATTGTTACACACCAATGTATAACTTCACGTAACATGATATAATACCAAACCGTTTTAAACAATCAGTTAAATACATCTATGATTTAATTACTTACTGCATATGCATTCTTCAATGCTGTTGCGATAATAACCATTAATATGGCATTAATCACCGTTTGATTCATGATGCTTCTATTTATAACACACTAACAAAAGGATAATAATTTATAAGTCTGTCTTGACTTTTATACAGCTTATTCGAACAGTCATGGATCAGCCTTCACTGCATTAGCAAGGTCACGAAATTGTTACCATGTTATGTCAAAACATAGATGTTACCATTTCGTATGAACAATCATTATGTCTTCCTCCAGGCAGAACAAACACATTTCCGGTTGTTAATTTTCTATGTTTGAAAAATATATAGACATTCATTTACTTTTTAAGACGCAGAAGCTGAACCAATGGTAACGAGAATTGAATTAGGTTTATAATCAAGCACTGATAGATATACACTTATCTGATTCTACAACCCTGTAATTCCCCTACGATTCTTCTAAACTTTGCCCTGTAATTTCAGTTTTCAAGGTTATATCCTTATAGAAACTGATATATTATGTAAATTAGATATGGATACCCTTGTATTTATATATATTAATAGCTTCTCCTCGTGAATGTTATAGATAGCTTGTTTATATCACGGAGAGAAGTGGAAAAAATAAAAAATTCACATAATATAAAAATCATTGTGAACTGACCACTCCATTTCGGCCTGGGTTCGATCCCAGGTCGGGTCAAGTGGGATTTGTAGTGGACAAAGTGGCGCTGGGGCGAGTTTTCTTCGAGTACTTAGGTTTCCCCTGCCAATCTTTATTCCGCCAAATTTTCCATCGTCATAATCACCCGGGGCAGGCTACAATAGGCCAATCAGTGGTCGCCGTGCCGAGTGGACCCAGTTGGACACCACATCCCACTAAGCAAAAAAAAAACACTTCATTTGATGACACAAGGTATTTTTTCATGTTTATATCGGCATCACGTAAGATATGAAGGACGTATACACAATATAACAAGCAGAAGAGCACTCACAACACTTTGTAACCCGTCAGCTCATTGGTAGTCACCTCACATGTCGCACCCAATGCCTTGACCATGTTTATTGTACCCACTGCAGAGACGCTTTGAACATTGCGTTCCGTGGTGGCAAGGAAAAGTATGCCCAAAATTTCCACTATATCCTGCAGCCCGGTGCTTTAGTCACATCTCGTTATCACTGCTTCAGTTACCATGAAGCACAGGCTCTGAAGCTTTAGCGTTTCCGGATGTGTGGGAAGTCAGCCACAATGACCTCGTCTTTCCGGCCGTCCTTAGCTGAAGCGTACTTTGAAAAATGCCACGAAGTCTTTATCTTCACACTTTTTCTCTTCACCATATGTACCTCAATAACCTAGCGCCATGTTCGGCGAATATCGTTGTTAAAGATTCTGTGAGCAAACCATTACTCAGTGCTCACTCCTTTGCTTTGAGTAGCGGTCCGCTTTCCTGCCAGCACCAAAGTCGAATGTCGCTGTCCTTGCTTGTGCCTAGTTCTTCCAAACTAATAAAGCCTGAATCAGTAATTGATTTTCATTTATTTTAAATTGATATATCTCTGTAGCATTCTGTCGTGGGCACGCGGTAGAGTAATTGGTTGAGACATTATGCTACAAGCCGGAAGGTCGCGAGTTCAAGTCCCGATGAGATCATTGGATTTTATTAATTGACTTAATCCTTCCAGCCGCACTATGGCCCTGGGGTCGACTCAGCCTCTAACAGAAATTAGTACCGGGAATTATTAAATAATTTTCCTGGAGAGTAAAGCGCGGCCGGGGCATAAGGCTGACAAATTTACGCCATTTTTGAGCCGAATATTTAGAAAATGTGGGAGCCTCAACGTCTCACAAATGAGCCTTCACGGCCTGTTACAGGGATAGCTTTACTTTTACTTTACTGTGTCATTCTGTCATATAATTTACGGCAATGCTTAACAAAATACTAAGGCGTGAGTGGGTGAACAATATTAAAATGTATCTCAGAGAGATAGGATGGTATGGATTGGATTGATCTGCCTCAGGTTAGTAACCGGTGGAGGGCTCTTGTGAACACGGTAATGAACATTCGGGTTCCATAAAATGTTGGGAAGTTCTCGAGTAGCTCCACAATTGGAGGCTTCTCAAGAAGGGCTCAGCTCCACGAGTGAGTGAGTGAGTGAGTTGACAAAATACTTGAGCTTTAATTATCGTTTCACTTCGGGGTTTAAGTCACCATAAGGCAACCTGCTCTCCCGTGTCAGTAGTGTTTGTATAGGTCAGAGTCCACCATACAAATTTCCATTTACACGTTTACATGATAGTCTATATACAGTTCCTACAATTAGGGCTAAAATTAGAAGCATATGATGAAAATTACATAAAATACTAGTTTGTCGTTCAGAAATCGTCAAAATTTCCTAGTGTGCTGTACTTTTCCGTAATAATGTATATAAGTCTCTAAGAGGCTCATTTCCTTTGTTCTAACCATATTTTCTGTTCGGCTTATTATGCTTATGGTAAAAAGATAAAGGTAAAGTTGTCCCTGTGTTCATCTAATTAAGCACTAAGCCATGAAGACGTATGGGGGAGTGGATATATGTAGTGTATGTACCCACGTTTCCATGACCTCGGCACGAGTTAGAGGTGAGTGGTCAGCTTCACACCCCGGCCGCTTTACCCGAGGGGAGGCCCCCGGTACCCATTGTATAGGAGGTTGGTTGGGCCCCAGAGCCTGTCTGGAAGATTGAAGAAGTGAAAATTCTTGATCCTACCGGGACTCGAACTCCGACCCCTCGATCGTCCATCCTGTAGCCGGTCGCTATACCGACTGAGCTACCCCAGCTTATGAATTACTTTTTTTTTTCCTTGGCACTACAGCCCCAGTTGGCCTAGGCCTACCTCCATGTACTTCTCCGTTCACGTCGGTTTTTCTAGATCTTACACATTCGGTAGGACTCCTTGGGCGGGTGATCAGCTCGTCGCAAGGCCTCTACCTGTAGATAAACACAGAAAAACGCACACAAACATCCATGCCCTGAGTGGGATTCGAACCCACGATCCCGGCTTCCGAGCGAGCGAAGATAGTGCATGCCTTAGACCGCTCGGCTACCGTGACCGGCTATGAATTACTTAATGTTTGGAATTATTTATTTATTCATAACTTCCTTAAATCATGTTTTTTCTTTCGAAGGGCTCTCTTGCCAATTAACTCACTTTAGAGTTACTCAGTTTATTTCCCTGCTTGTCATCTCTTGAGTCGAGTTAAGGATCTATTAAGCCTTGCATTCACTGCCCTTAAGCACTCAGATGACTTGAACTTAAGTTACTAAGACAGACTCGAGCGTGACTACAATGTCAGGAGCTGCAACACTCGAGAGATAGAGGACCTTCGTGTAGAAACATCTGTAGAATTTGTACAATGTGCAGACGTTATTAAAAGGCTTTGAAAGAGCTAAGAGTAGCACTAATTCGAAATGAATTGTATTTTTGTGTTTTGCTGATTGCAAATAGTGCAGGTAGGTATGTTATATGAGGTTGTATATGNTCAGTTGAAATATGAAGACGTTAACAATGTTTTACTTTAGCATAAGCCTAACTCAGGCGTGTCGAACTGGAGTCCTGCGGGCTGCATGTGACCCTCTCGATGCCTTTTGGTGGCCCTTGGGCGGAAGGCTGTATTAAGAAACCTCGCGGCCTGACCCTTGTCCTTGCCGTAAGAAGATAGCGCGAAGGATCATGCGTTAAGTCCCCGGCTGGCCTGTTCAAATTCAAACACTGGTTCCTCGACACAATCATCTTCTCGTAAGTTACTTCGGTTATTAGTTCAGCCAGTATTTTTAGGAGAATTGTCAATGCAGGAATAAAAAGCCATCCCTATACTTATTGTTCTGGCCTTTGTGAAGGAGTAAATTCGTGAGTCGCTCGTTTTCTTGCTGGTCATCCTTCAATATGCCTGCAAGTGTTCTGTACCTGGTTTTGGATTGTGCTTCGAACAACGTCTGTATCAAATCTATGTTCAAACAGAAAGAGCAAAACTGGAGAAGAGGGTCTTATAAAGAGAAGTGGAAGATATAATACTTTTCTCCTTAGGCTGACAACCTTACAGCCATCTGTGAGCCGATTATCTAGATAATGTGGGAGCTTCAACGTCTCACAACCCTATGGACCTCCGCGGCATGTTACAATGATAGCTTTACTTACTTACTTACTTACTTACTTAATGAGAGTTTCGTTTGTCTCGTTTGTTAAGAGTCTGCATTTATAAAGAGTACATTACATAATTGTTACACTAAATAATAATAGGCTCTTTATGAACAATTTTTCCCCGTACTTACTACAGATGTTAGCTGCCCAGATCACTAATTAGGTGAAAAGTAATGAATATGACATGCCTTGTGTACATGACAGGTCTTGAAGAATACCGTATTTACGCATGTATAGGCCGCGTGCGTGTATAGGCAGCAGCAGAGTTTTCAGACAGAAATTATAGAAAAAGTAATTTTCTTGGAATATTATTTCAGGAGTAGAACACTTTGTATTACTAATTATGAATATAATTTTTTTTTAAATGAAGTGTGATTTCGAATATTTCGAATATAAGCCGCACCCCAGTTTTCCTCTTGAAATTTTGGCAAAAAATGTGCGGCCTATACATGCGTAAATACGGTATTCTCCATCCTAGTATATCACAGGTATGACTCTTGTGAGAAATCTGATCTGCTGCAGTAAGGGAAGAACATAACATTGAGGGCTTCTGAGACCCATAACATATTGAGTCATTCATCAATGACAATGCAGCATTTTGTTGGGCCTTGGTCTCATCTCCAGTTTTACTAATATTTTTTATACAGACGGGTAGGACTCCTTGGACGAGTGATTAGCCCGTCGCAAGGCCGCTACCTACACACAGGACAGCACAAACACAGAACAAACGCACATACGGACATCCATGTCTTGAGTGGGATTTGAACCCACTATCACAGCTTTCAAGCAAGCAAAGACAGTTCATGTCTTGGACCGCGCGGCCACTGACATCGGCGCAGTAATACCGGGTGTCCGGATGAAAGGTATCCAAAATAAAAAATATATATCTAGGAAACTAATTGTCAGGCACGTATCCGGTTTATATCATCGTAAAGGACAACACGGAAAGTTTTTTTTCATACCCGACTTACGCGCAAGCGCCCCCACATTGCTGCCACCATATTAGTAATCACATGGAAAGAGAAATGACTGGATATAAATTGGCAGAGGTGGACCAATAGCTTGGCCTCCTAGGTCGTCAGATTTAACCTCAGTAGAATTTTTCTTATGGGGTTATGTGAAGAACATTGCCTGCCGGGTTAAGATCAACGAGCCTCAACACCTGAAAGCCCGCATAAGGAACGCTGGGGCTACGGTAACATCAAACATGCTTCAAGCAACGTGAAACAAGGTCGAATATCGTCTGGATATTTGGCGTGCCACCAAGGGAGCTCACATTTAAATTTATTCTAAAGGTTATATACACAGAAAGGAACTTTGAAGGTTTCCCTTTGTAATGGTATAAGCCATTAATGTGTATAATAAATTCTTTCTGAGATATAATGATTTTGGGTACCTTACATTCGGACATACTGTATGTATTCGTACAGGCCTAAGACAAAGAAGAAAACACGGGCTGATGAGAAGACATACGTCAAGAAATTGCAATTAGGTGAGAGTCCAGGGGGATGGAATGGGGCAAACATGTGGCAAGCATGATAGTACTATGCTAGTCAACGGAACTGAAGGGAAAATTTCGCTTGGGCGACAAAGATGTAGATGGCAGGTCAGTACGACTACTGAAGTGGGCCTTAAAGAAATGGGATTTGAGGGTATGGGCTGGAGTTAGTTAGTTATTGGAGAGGGCGGGTTTCCCCATGCACTTAGACCAGTAGTGGTCCATTGCGCTTCCCTCTATGATTTCTACCAGTCTCTATATCCTACCGGTATTGGTGCTTACCATCAGTCCCGCCCAGCCAGCGAGACCGGCTCTACAGGCTGAGAAGTGTCTATAATGCTTCCCCCATCTATCGGAGGTATTAGTGACTGCTGTTGGGCGGGAAACGTCCGCAATTTTGGATCAGTGACCTTCTTTGGAGGTATGAGTTTCTTTTACGTGCCGTAAAGCTACGACACGGGACCCACGGCTTAAAGTCCCTCCCGGAGGACTTGTTCCTGGGCTGGAGTTACTGGAAGGGAAGAGGGACGTATGGAGGTTAATCTGATCAGAGTAATGAAGCATTATGCTCCATACAAAACGGGGAATTTCTTGACTATCTGAACAACAATTAGCCTCTGATCAAAATAATTATACCCTCAGGGTCATACGATGTAGCTTCTAATGCTTAAAAAGTACGTGCTTGTATATTTTATCATTTTTATTAATCAATATGGTAATACAAAATTAGAGTAATTACATATTACAGTAATTCTAGTGCAAGGAACCAAACTTGGCTGTGGCAATGGAGTTGTTATAAAAAGTGTGTTCTCCAGTATTCCTCATGGCTCACATATTTAGCACGGACCAAGGACAACATAAATTCTATAAGGAATAATAGTGTTGCACTACTCAGGCTACAAGATGGTGTCCATCAGGCGAGGCTTCAATCAGGGGTACAAGAAAGCCTGAAACAAAGAGAAATCAATGTTTCTTAGTTACGTATTGCACAAAAATTTTTAAATTTCTAGTCTTTGGGGCGGTACATTTAAGGGTTTAGAAGGTTCCTTTCAAATTTCAGTGATACTTATATGTTTTTTTTTTTCTAATACATAGTTTGGATAAAAAGGAGTTGCAGCGCCTCTATAGTTCTGAAATGACTT